GTTTCCACATTCTTCTCCCCCTTTATTTCAGATTTGACTGGGTTCATATAAATTCTAGTGTCAGGGTATCTTAGACAGATTGTTCTTTCCTCTATCTCTAACTGGGCCTCAGTTCCAAACAAGAAAATGGGGAAGGAGTGATGCTTTTCTGTTGCTGAAAACTGAAGGATATTTGTTGCATCTTCATGGTTCAGTTAGTGAACAGATGCCAAATATTAAAGGAATTGAAAAAGAAAGTTATTGTCTAAATTATTTAAACTCTGGCAGATCCATGTTTAAATAGATTCTTATTGAATCAAGGAGTAGGCAGGAAACAAGGCAGGTATCTCATAAAAAAAAAAAAAAAAAAACTGTAAAGGGCAGGATGTTAGCTGTGTCAATGTCCTGAAGGGGAATAACTGGGCTGCTGCCATCAACACCTTTGATTAAAGAACATAGAGTTGGGCCTGATTCTTCTTCAGCTGGAGGTTTCTTGCTGTTAAAATTTGTTTTTATTCTCCTCTGTCCCTGCATGCATGCTCCATGTAAAGAAATGTTGTAGAGTCAACGACACAATGCAAGCAAATATCAAACATCGCCACTTTATCGTCTAAGAGGAGAGAATCCTGAAAGTCAATGCAGTCAGACGGATTAGATGAATAAATTGAATTAAATTAAACTGAAAAAAATAATATAAAGAGGGCCCAGAATGTGTGCTTCCATTTCAGAAAGACAAAATCTGCTGCGTTTGTTTCCGGCAGCACAGATCAATGTGCTGCTGATGCTGAAAGATAAGCTGATCTTTTGGATTTTTTTCTTACATCACAATCAATATAATAGTAAAGCACAAATCAGGCTTGATGTGATAAGAATATGTATTGAGTGGTGTGTCAGGAAATATTGTTAAATGTTGTAAAAAGGCTTTTGTCCCAACGCTGCATGTCCCGAACCCGTAACATCATCAATGACCCCTCACACCCCCACCATTGACTGTTCTCCCTGCTGTCCTCTAGGAACAGGCTTTGAAGCATTCAATGCAGGTCCAGCAAATTCTGAAACAGCTTCTTCCCTACCGCCATCAGACAGCTGAACTGTTGAAAAAACTCTAAATTATGTCACAGACTCTGCATCACACTGACAACACCAAACCAAAACGCTGCATAACTCCACCATAAATATTTAATTCTCTGAACTTCCATATCATTGCATTTTTTGCACCATGTTTTTTCTCCGACATCGTTTACATTTGATCACTGCTGCATTTTATGGAATGGAAATATAATGTATACTGTGTATACAAAATGACAATAAAAGTTTTCTAAGTCTAAGTAAGTCTAAGTCTTTAGATGTATTGGAAAGTTTTCAGTTTTAAGCGAAATATTTTGAAAAAATTTAAATTTTCTAATTTCTACAACTGAATATTTAATATCCTAAAACGGTGACTTTATTCTTAATACACTTACATGTAATGCTTCTTTCCTTAACTTAAACTGTCAGCCTATATGATTCAAACACAGATACATGAAAAATATTTAAATACAAAATCTTTTTAATTCAAAAACATGGCTTTAATGCTCGAATGGAGGAAAGTAAAGGTATTGAGTAAACAGAGAAACCAGCATCACCTTTGAAATGTTTGTTTCTTTGCATTTTTGAATTTCAGAAAGTGCATGAATACTTTTTAATTCACTGCGAACCACAAAACTCTTTACAAAGCTTGATTCAACAAAGAAGCAGCACTTATAGACGGTACTTAATTATCTTTAAAGGGAAGATCACCGCTCTACTGTGAAGGTATTGCAGAGACAAAATTTATCAATTTTCAATTCAAATGAATTCCGTTTATTTATATAGAGCAAATTCAAAACATGTCATCTTAAAGCACTGTAGAGAGATAATACTGTCAGAGTGGTTACAAGTTTATGACATGGAAAACCAGTTGATTGCATAGAGTCACTCACTTGCAAGACATGCTCCTTCTGGTTGAGCTTGCAGTGACGATGTTAACTTGCATTTTTTTCATTGACTCTTCAGCAATCCCTCACATCAAGCCTGCTCGTAGCGACAGTGGAGATGAAAAACTCATTGTAACAGGGAGAAACCAACATGACCAGGCTCAGTGTGAGCGGCCATCTGCTGAGGCCGACTGGGGTTCAAGGAGACAGAAGCAGAGATACAAAAGGTCACTGTCAACCTTCTAGGAAACACACAGCCAGGTAGACGAGCTCCGATCTAGCTCCAGTGTCGAGGATGAAAGAGAGCACAGTCAGAGAAACAGGACTACACTGAAAAACTTTCCAAGCGCTAACATCAACAAACAAAAATGTTGATGGCAGCAGCAAAAATAGAATTGTAATAAACAAAATTATTTATTAATCAATTAATATAAAGAAAGTAACAATAAAGGACTAAGATAAATTCTTATTGAACAGGAGAGCTGTAAATTTTCCATATGGTTCACCCAGAGTTGCTGGCTTCACATTCTTCCTTTTTCTTGTGTTTTTTGCAAAGAAACCAAAGAAAACTTCTGCCCAGGCGCTCCACCACATCATCAAATAATAATTGTGTTTATTTGTTGCTCTTCTGTGCCTTGGCGGAGCTCAAGTTTACAGGTTGACTCTTGGCATGCTGTAAAAACTCTTTCCAGTCTGGCCAGTACCACCACCTGCTGCAGGAGCTGGGACTACAGGTGCTGGTCATAAAATTAGAATATCATGAAAAAGTAGATTGATTTCAGTAATTCCATTTAAAAAGTGAAACTTGTATATTATATTCATACATTACATACAAACTCATATATTTCAGATGTTTATTTTGTTTAATTTTGATGATTACAAATGACAACAAATGAAAATCTCAAATTCATCATATCAGAAAATTAGAATATTACTGAAGACCAATAAAAACAAAGGATTTATAGAAATGTTGGCCAACTGAAAAGTATGAACATGAAAAGTATGAGCATGTACAGCACTCAGTATTTAGTTGGGCCTCCTTTGGCCTGTATTACTGCAGCAATGCGGCGTGGCATGGAGTCGATCAGTCTGTGGCACTGCTCAGGTGTTATGATAGCCTAGGTTGCTCTAATAGTGGCTTTTAGCTCTTCTGAATTGTTGGGTCTGGTGTATTGCATCTTCTTCTTCACAATACCCCATAGATTTTCTATGGGGTTAAGGTCAGGAGAGTTTGCTGGCCAATTAAGAACAGGGATACCATGGTCCTTCAACCAGGTACTGGTAGCTTTGGCACTGTGTGCAGGTGCCAAGTCCTGTTGGAAAATGAAATCTGCATCTCCAAAAAGTTGGTCAGCTGCAGGAAGCATGAAGTGCTCTAAAACTTCCTGGTATGTGGCTGCGTTGACCCTGGACCTCAGAAAACACAATGGACCAACACCAGCAGATGACATGGCACCCCAAACCATCACTGACTGTGGAAACTTTACACTGGACTTCAAGCAACGTGGATGAAGTGCCTCTCTTCTTTTCCTCCAGACTCTGGGACCTTGATTTCCAAAGGAAATGCAAAATTTACTTTCATCAGAGAACATGACTTTGGACCACTCACCAGCAGTCCAGTCCTGTTTCTCTTTAGCCCAGGCAAGACGCTTCTGACGCTGTCTGTGGTTCAAGAGTGGCTTGACACAAGGAATGCGACAGCAGAAACCCATGTCTTTCATACGTCTGTGTGTGGTGGTTCTTGAAGCACTCACTCCAGCTGCAGTCCACTCTTTGTGAATCTCCCCCACATTTTTGAATGGGTTTTGTTTCACAATCCTCTCCAGGGTGCGGTTATCTCTCTTGCTTGTACACTTTTTTCGACCACATCTTTTCCTTCCCTTCGCCTCTCTATTAATGTGCTTGGACACTGAGCTCTGTGAACAGCCAGCCTCTTTAGCGATGACCTTTTGTGTCTTGCCCTCCTTGTGCAAGGTGTCGATGGTCGTCTTTTGGACAACTGTCAAGTCAGCAGTCTTCCCCATGATTGTGTAGCCTATAGAACTAGACTGAAAGACCATTTAAAGGCTTTTGCAGGTGGTTTGAGTTAATTAGCTGATTAGAGTGTGGCACCAGGGGCCATCAATTTTGAACCTTTTCACAATATTCTAATTTTCTGATATGATGAATTTGAGATTTTCATTTGTTGTCATTTGTAATCATCAAAATTAAACAAAATAAACATCTGAAATATATGAGTTTGTATGTAATGTATGAATATAATATACAAGTTTCACTTTTTAAATGGAATTACTGAAATCAATCTACTTTTTCATGATATTCTAATTTTATGACCAGCACCTGTAGATGATCACTTCCAGCAGTACTTCTATCTGAACAAAACCTGGGATCAGGATCTGCTGAGTTGAGGCAGGAGGACGGATCAACCTGTGAAATTTTGCTGCACTCTATCCATATCCATGCCACCACCTCCCCTACTGCCAGTGCTGCTTCAATATATCTGCAGGTCTACAGTGTTTATTACCATGATGCTTCGCTGTAATATGAGCCAATCACATCGCTGGAAATACATCAGTGATCATTTACCTGCACCAGAAAGCGCCCTTACATTGGGATAACATGGAAATAACTCATTGTATTCACATTCATAGTGAATGTGCCTTAAGAGTTGATAAACCAAAATATTAATCAAACATGAAACAAAACAGTGTTATGAATAAAATGCTTAAAAATGTTGCAGTTACAGTTTTCCACAAATTTCTGTTGAATTATCAGCTTAATATATTTTTCTTATAAATGCACCTTTTGAACTTTGGTTTCTGACCATGTAATAAATTTGTTCAATAAAGAGCCTGTAAACTAACCTTGATGTTATGAAAAAGGGAAATAATTTCCATGGTAAACACTAGCAGTCAGATAATACAGCTGGACTCTCACCTGAGACACACATAAATATTCAAATAATTTGTTCCACCCTGTTACAGACGTTGGTTTATCCAGCATTTTACTTCCTGAAGGTCTGTAATTACTTTTCCTGTGAAACATGCACCTACTGCATCCAGTTTTGAATATTTAAATTGTGAGATGGTAAAATTCATCTGCTGTTCAGAAATCAGCAAAACAAAGATACCAACAGTTTAGTGGGACAGTTTTCAGCAGAGCATCAAGAAAGGAACATCCCATTTAGTGAGGAGAAAGGAAGCAGAGGAAGGTTTGAGCTCAATCTGTTCTTGCATCCAACTTTATTAGAATCTGCTTTATTGATTTATTTATAAAGTCTTTGTAAATATCTAAAGGTCTTTTTTATTTGTAAACATTAATTTTTCAGTTTTTTCTTCTCTGATCTGTTTCCTGTTTGGCTTCAGCTCCTCTCCTATCATTGTTTCTCTGTACAGTGGAGGAAGAGCTGCAGGTTTTCAGACCCTGATTTAAAGTATTTAATGTATTTTTCCTCCAACAGAGAAAAATTCTCTCCAGACAGCAGATATGCAGTGGAATCTGGTTCTGTTCATTCTGATGGGTAAGTTGATATTAAATAAAGCTACACTCACTGGTTTGTGATACATCATGGACTTAAAAAAAGAAAAAAAAAAACTTGTATTATGTGTTATCAAGTCTCAAACCTGTGAAATGCTTCATAATTTCTCATTAACCCATTCAAATGCTGATTGTGTTAAGCTACACTGTAACCACAGCTGCCCTGGAACAGCCAGAAGCAAAGCCAATGAATCTGCATTTTTTACCAAGGAGCTACAGAAATGGAGCAAAGGCTCAAATGACAACCGACCTTTAATACAAGACAACCTCCCCTCAGCTACTTCAGCCCTATAAACCTCAAAAAACTTTAACTAAGATTTACTGCAAATGCTGGTGGAGATTTATAATCTAGTGCTAAATACAGCAACATTTTTATATTTTCAGGTCAGAGTTGTTTCATCAACTGTCAGCTCTATGAGTTTCTCTACATTAATAAGGATATGAACTGGACTGAAGCTCAGCAGTACTGCAGAGAGAAACACACTGACCTGGCCACAGTGTCTAACATGGCAGACATGAAGAGACTCCTCAGTACCAGAGCAGGAGATAAGAGGGAGGCTTGGATTGGTCTGAAGGATCATGGTAACAGAACATGGTACTGGTCTCTGCCTGGAGTGGAGTTCAATGAAAGGGAGACAAACTGGAACCCAGGAGAACCAAGTGATGTCAATAATGGAAATGAGAACTGTGGATATTTAAATAATGACCTTAGATGGATAGATACTGGTTGCCAACATAAATACCATTTCCTCTGTTATAATGGTGAGAATGATTTAATTTTCTGCAGTTTGGTTATGGGTTTTCAAATTATTCTCTTTGTTTTATTTAGTATTTTTCCTACAAACAAGAAAACATGTAAATTCAATGTGATGTGAGTTTATCTGTTTTCTCCACAGAAACTAAAAGAACCCAGAAATACCACTTGATTAGAGAGAAGAAAACCTGGCAGGAAGCTCAGAGTTACTGCAGAGAGAAACACACAGACCTGATCAGTGGAATGAAGCAGCTACAGGATGGAGAACTGAAGGAAGTGATGAAGTCTGCAGATAATAAAACATACTTTGGTCTGTTCAGAGACACCTGGAGGTGGTCAGATGGAAGCAGTTTCTCTTTCAGACACTGGCAAGACTGGTTAAACAATCAGGAGATCAACAGTGGTCGATGTGCCGTGGCTGGGATTGATGATGAAGGCAGATGGAAGACTGACAGCTGTAATCTGGAAAAACCCTTCATCTGTTATAATGGTGAGATTTTTTTAGAGACCTCTTCTGATTTTAATATATTATTTATTTTTCTATTATGTATGATTTAGCTCTTGATGGTAATATCAATTTTCAAAAAAAGACATTCATACATCAGCATCCATTATTTAAAGGAACAATAAGCAATCATTTATTATTTGAGATAGAAAGAAAACAAATTAAAAAATGTGTGGATCAAAACGGTCACCTGAAGACAATCACCTACCATAATGAAGCTCTCTTGGTATCAGCATTAGATTATGAGTTCATTACAAGACATGATTGGTAGTAAGGCTGAACAAAGTGAATATCTCTTTATCCAGTGTTGTGATTATTATTTATTTATTAAATTCTCCTTTGCACTAACCATCACCACGTAGATAATTCATTTCTGGGTTTAAGTCTTTTCATGACCTTGAAAGCTTTCTTGTGCAGAGTCCACTGTTGGAGGATTTTCCTGTAATCATTTTGTAGAAAAGTGTTTATTTTTATTCGCATACATGAATCTGTGTGCAAGCTGCAACTCCCTCTTCCTTCTGTGTGAATCCAAGGTAGAAAATCGGTGTATTAATCCTGTTAAATGAGATCAATAATTAGTCTGTCTCTAATTTGAAAATTGCATGTTTTTAAATTTAAATTATTTAACAAATGCAATGAATTGCCCGGCTCTACAGTAGGTAGGGTAAGGGGGGGCATGGCGGGGTGCAGCTGGAGTGGAGGTGGAGAAGGGTTCACTTGTTACACATCTTATATCAGTATGCTGGCAATGCTAAACAGAGCACCTAGTGGTGAAATTTTATCATTTAAAAGCATTTTAAACCAAAGCAATTTGTTTAATTAACGTTTTTATCATTGTTTACGAATACTAATTAATAATGCCACTGAACAAGAAATTGTTTATGTCCTCTATAGCAGATAAAGTGATACTAGTCCAAGAAAACAAATCCTGGGAGGATGCCTTAGACTACTGCAGAAAATACCATGTTGACCTGGTCACCATCACCAGCCTAGATGAGCAGAGATGGATCCAGGAGAAAGCCAAGAACGCCACAACTGATTATGTCTGGATGGGACTGCACTACGCCTGCACTCTGGATTTGTGGTTCTGGGTCAATGACAAAATGGTCAAGTATGAGAACTGGGCCTCAGAGCAACCAATGGATGACTGTGACATGTCTGGAGCCATGGAGACAGGAGGAGAACATCAGTGGAGGAAAAAAAATGATAGTGAGAAGTTTAATTTTATCTGCTCTAAGGATTAAAACAGTTTGTATAATAGATTAGGTGTGGTGTTTTAACGTAGGATATTTTGTAGTTCTGTGGAAACATCTTGAATTATAAAAAATCACTTTTTCTAACTGTGAGGGATTTAAAAAATGACTCATTGGTGGAAGGTTTAAGTCTGTGTCTTTTTCGATGTAAGAACTTCTCACCACTCTCTTTTTCTTTGAGGTCAGTTGGTCAGGTGTTGCCATAGAAACGCACCTATGAGCAGTGCTGACAAGGACCTGGTGTTTTACAATCAGCCTCATAAGGAAAATCCACACTGACTGAGAGGGAGGGGAGATGTCTGGGTTTGGTTTTGGTTTAGATCGGGGGTAACCAATTAGAAATCAGCGAGGTCCAAAAAAGAAAATCATCAACCAGTAAAGATCAGGAGACATTTTTAATTATCTTTTACTTTAAACAGAGTTTAACACTGAAATAAAATGAGGTGTCTATGCATTCATGTTAAACATTGATTTTTTTATTTTTTTTTATTTATTTATTTATTTATTTATTTATTTTACACTGTCCTGTCTGGCAAGGTGGCTATAAGAATAATTGTCTTTATGCCAAAAGGAGCCCAACAGATTTTACTTTCACAAGTTTAGCAGTATGGCAATTGCCATACTGCTCCATTTGTTTCAAAAAGGAAAAAGAAAAAAAGGGATAGAAAGGAGACAATGACAAAACATTTTCAGTCTGCTTCATCACCTGTAACGAGATGAAAAAAGAACAGCACAACCAAAAGACACGGTACGAGATATACAATAAAGCAACACCTTGAAACTATCGCTACACCGGCCCCCCAACACCACGCCCGCCGGAGCCGCCCGGACCCCCACACACCAGCGGCGCGCCTCCAGCAGGACCCCCACCCAGCAGGCCCGCCCACCCCACCGAGAAAACAGACATGCCAAACCCCCCCCCCCAAAAAAAAAAAAAAAAAAAAAGAGCCCCCACAATGCGACAGTGGACACCAGACACCGACCTGCCCGCAACCGCTCCCCCCCACCGAGGAAGAAAAAAAAATTAAAATAAATAAATTTATGAATTAATAATTACAATTAAATTAAATATGCAAGAGGAGAAATGCGAGGGGAAAAAACCGGAGCCCAAAACAGGACCCAAGACTCGCACCCCACCATGCCGTGCAGCCCCCCCCCCCCCCCACCCCCCCCCCCCCCCCCACCCCCCGAACCGATACCACAGAACCAGCATCGCAAAAAAAAAACACCACCCAGGAACCGGCGTCGTAGCGAAGGCACCGACACCGAAAATCCCCGAACAACACCCAGCCCAACCCCGAAGTGGATCCAGTCCCAGGCCCCAGGGATCCGAGGCTGCAAGGGCGCCCCACCCCCAGAAAGAAGCCCCAGCAAAGCCCCGGCCGGCCGGGGCCAGCGGAGAGGCCGCAAGGAATGAGCCAGCAGCCCCCCGGCATCCACCCCCAGACCCCGAGCTCCACCAGTGCACCGGTGAGCCCCGACGCCAGCCAGTGGAGGGAGACCAGGACGGGGGGAATGGGCTCCGCACTTAGCGGAGACTTGAGATGTATTTGGGAGAGGGTGCGGTTGAGACCCCAACCTGGGAGAGAAGAAAAAAACAAAACAAAAAAACACACCATTTCAATCATGCCTTCCCTAATAATAATAAATAAAGAAAATAACAACGCGGACACACATTCACACATAACACTCACATCCAATAATACCAGGACCAAAAACCCAGTGACACCGGTGGTTGGTCCCGGGACTATCGGATGACCCAATAAGTGAACCTAAAATCCGGATGTGGGGGGAGGGGAGCGGCGACACCGCCACACCAACCCATCTCATTCCTGCTTCAAGCCCGGCCCCCCACCCCGCACACGGACAGGAACACCCCCAGCCAGAGCCCCCCCCGGGACCGGGGCCCACCCATCCCGCGCAGGCCACCCAACCAGAAAATTAAAAAAGTAAAACAAAATAGACATTAGTAGAGAACAACAATCTTTCAGTTTGTTATATTGACAATTTAACCCTGATTCACATATATTTTTTAAAACACCTGAACTTACTTTTTTGTTTCTTTCATTTTTCTGTCTTAATGAGAGCAGTGGGCTTTATGCTGCCCTGCAAGGCTTTAAACCTGGGTTTGAATGGAGACAAAGCCATTCTCAAGCACATATCAAGGTGCTCATTTTAAGCCTGGATCCATATTTATTTTTGTTTCTGTTCATGGTAGAGAATCCTGCTTCACAGCAGCAGGTTGAGCCAAACATACTCTAAATGTGCAGGGTCTGCTCCGGTCCGGTCAGGGCAAGATCCGCTATTGCAATCACACTAAACAGGAAAAAAAACTGCGAGAAGATCCGGTTTGTTACATTAAAATATAGTAACAACAGATCGGTAACTACAAATTAGAGCATAATTCTTATATATTTAAAAAACCACTGTTTATTTAAAAGATTGGATGCAAACTATTGGTACTTCAACAGACCAGGAAGCAGATTTTTCATCTCCATCAGAAACCACACATCTGCTGGATGCTGATGGGGATTTTTTTAATATGTCATATTAATGCCTTGCATGCTGTCCTCAAGCTTCAAGGATAAGTCGGAGTGCAGCAATACGGGAGGAACAGCGGAGGCTGTAGGCTTTGCTTTGCGCAGGAGGTCAGGAGCGCTGCAGAGACGGAGGATGTGGGATTTTGGGGCAACAGGAGAAGCGGCGCAAGTGAAGTTAGACAATGTCGTCAGACAACATGTGATAATTTATAAATGTTTTAAATCAGGTTGAGTCCAGATTAGCCAGCAGGTGGGTCCAGATCCGGATCGCAGTCCTTAAATCCATGACCTCTGCTTTAGATTATTGCTTAGTGTCAATTTGTTGAATGTAAATGGGTTTTATTTTCCACTAGTTTTAATTTTGTTGATTGTTTCCAAATAGAAAATTTAAATGTAAAGGTTTCCAACCCTTTTATTAGAGATTGTACAGGCTGATGCTTTAAAAGCTGGGTTGATTAAATCTCGGTGTAACTTTTTCTTTCTTTTTTTTTGTTCTTTTGCTGTTATTTAGGAAAGTGTCTGCAAACCTTACATTAATCTTTTATAAGATGATCCTTTATTTCTAGTGTCTTCTTATTTCTGCCCCTCCATACTAACTCCATGTGAACCTTTGTCTACATTTGTTTTATTTTGCTCAGGTTATATATTTAATAAATGTCTGTAAAAATTGGGCACTGTAAAAAGTTAAATACTGTAAACATATCTTCTATAATAAAAAGTAACCACATCTTATTTGGTGTTTCGTTTTTCTGTCTAATAAGTGATGTTTTTTAAAGTTAAGGGATGCAGTCAAACTGAGAGTCCATGTAATGTTTAGTAGGTAGCTCCCATCCACAGGAAGCCAGAGTCTATACATAACTTTCTAGTTAAATATGGAGATGTGTCTATATAAAATGGCTGTAAAAACAACAGCATTCAAAATCTGCTCCAAGAGAGAGAAAATTAATAAATGACCCTATGGTGGCTTAATAAAGCTTAAAAGCAAAACACTGTTAAGCAAAAAATATATATGATCCTCCTTTTGTTAAAATTAAATGAACAGTCAGATCTATTTGGTTAAGTTGGGAGCTGGGTACGTTTTTGTTGATTTTAAATTGTTATTGTAAACTTCGAAAATGTGTGGGACTGCTGCCAATTCTCACAGCAGGTAAACGTTTGCATGAAATATTGCACATTTACATGCATAATAATAATTTTTTTACATGTTTTTTTTCTGTGTGGGTTAGTGTTTTGGCTGTCACTGGGTAATACAGATTGTCAGAATTTGATTTTGTTTAGGTCAGAAAACTGGCTAGGCCACTCCAAGACATCGAGGTTCCTTTTCTTTTAATCATTCTTTATTCAGAGCTCCCTAAATTCCCTGAAAGTGGTTGCCTGTGTCCTTGGGGTCAACAAAAACTACAAAATCACAATGTATAAATCCCATTAACTTTATAAAATCATGGCCATTACAACAATTGTGTGTGGAGATGACACATTTAAAAGTTATTTAGACCGAAATCTAGACTGTCAGAATGGAAGAAATAATTAATTTGGATTGAGTTTGTTGAATTTAAAGAATAGTTTAAACACAAACGTCAGGAGAATATCAGTATATCACTATACTGAGTATGCTAAATAAGAGCAAAGAAGAAACAAAGCAAAACACACCTAAACATACCTTTGTATACCTAAAAGAAAATTGGATCCATTTCCTTCCCACCAGGTTTCAAATGTTCTTCAGACCAGACGGCTTCACAGGGAGTCATACAGGGAGAAACATCGTGAACACGTTGATGGAGGTAAAAAATTTATGGGGCATTACTGAAAAAGTAGCCTCTGTTTTTACAGATAAAGCTGCCAACATGCTAGTTGCTGTCGATCTCACTGACCTCTTACAGTACATGTTGGCTGTTTTGCCAATGTGCTTAATTTGGCTTCACAGTCTGCTCTTAAAACTGCTGCAATCACACGGCTTCTGAGCAGAGTAAGATGCACCTCTGCTTTTTTTCATCAAAGTACTTTGGCCTGTCGTGCCCTCAGAAAGATTCAGAGGTTGTTGGAACTTCCGCAGCACAAACTAGTAACTGATGTCCCTACGAGGTGAAACAGTGCTTTAGACATACTGGAGAGATTCTTGGAACAACAACCAGCTGTCTCTGCTGCCTTACTCACCCCTGCCAGTCTGGGTCCTTGAGTAAGACCCTTAACACCAGACCTCTCCCTTGGGGCCGCACAGTGGCAGCCCACTGCTCCTTAAGGGAATGGGTTAAATGCAGATGGGAATTTCTCCAGTGTGAGATTAATAAAGTTATACAATTATTATTATTTTTATTATTATTATGGCAGCAGAGGATATTGTACAGGCTCTTAAGCCATTAAAGAAAGCCACCATAGTGATGTTTCAGAAAAGCACCTCTCCTCTGTTGTCATTGCAACCCTAAAGCTGAGCGAGAGGAAGTGTTAACACATCTTGTAGCTCTCACCAAGGAATTAGCCACTGTTAAAATTTCATTGAGTACTTAATAATGATAAAATTCACACTATAAT